TTGTCGCTCCTCATAAACCCAAAAGTGGGACCACTGTATTATCCTCACATTGATATAACATAGGTTCATGATTCATCCACGAGACCAACCATCGTACTTTGACACTAGTCAATTTTTGTAGAAAAGCTATCCACTCCTTTTTAGATTTTTGTTCTGACCATTCACTTTCATAGAATTCCTTGATCGGAGCTCGATTACAGATATAAAGCTTTGAGAAAGTACCTTTTCTCCATTCGAAGTGGCTTTTCATCTATAAGTATAATAACTGTATGCAGCCTATAAAACATCCTTCATTCTGACGACAGTAACTCAAAGATCTGATAGTCTTGCTAATATTACCATTGAAGGGTTACAACCATTGATCACAGTCTCAAAGAAGTCAACCACCACTATTTCAATATAACCCAAAACCTTTGGAAATATCACCATTATGTATATGGCTAAGGCAAATACATCTAACCCCTGTTCTTCGTTGGCATGTTACAATAGAAACTCATGAAAGAACTTCCACGGTAGGCAAACCTATTCTTATTTCTTCTTTGTATGAGAATCCATAACTTTTTTGTCTATCCCCATGAGTAAGTCAACCCTTATGAAACTCTTTGATTTGTGTTCTTTGGAGTATATCTATCAGGAGCCTTGAGAGTGTAAACCTGAACAAAGTCGAATATTTCTTCGATGGTTGGTTTATATCAAACTGTCATTAAAGATGAAACACTTGTATGTAGGATCTCAGAATTACGCTGCAGCTCTGATTAGTTGATCATCGAGAACTACTGTGAGAAGGTGTGCTATATGCCCGTGTCTCTGGCAAAACTGCTCTTGTCTTGACGGACTCATCTTCTTTCATATATCAACCAAATCCTCTAGATTATTTTGTTTAAGGAGGATAGATGTTTCTTGATACAAGGTAGAATCATATTCTGATTGGTAAACAATCCTCCATCTTCAGTTGAATCTTTTCTGACTGGACCCTTACTTCGTTGGGTGACTCGCAAGGAGCTAATACAGATGAAGAACAAACTAGTCGTTCTGTGGAGTCCATGAAAAATTTTTGTTGAAGACCATCTTTCAAGCAAATGTTCTTTATGCAATTTTATGATATGAGCATGAACCAATGCAAAAGAATGAGAGAAAAGGTTAGTATACCCAAAAAAAAGAATAAATAAATAACTAAGTAAATTAAAACATCACACAGAATAAGAGGAATGAACCCTATGCTTTTGGTCAATTCTAAAAGGAGAATGATGGCTCTATCTATAGGTTAGGCACTCTTAAAGTTCACTATATGTGGTTTGAGGTTAAAGTCTAAAGGTTCCCAAATTGCTCCTTACATTATTGTCCATCACAGACTAGTAAAGTACTCTAATCCTCACCCATTACATGCTACAAGCGGAACATGTTCAATTTGAGTGGGAGTATTTTGCTACCCACTGCAGAGGCATTAGACCTCACGAAAGCATAGGGTACTTTACTCCCTCATAGAGGGACGGAGCTCGGGTATAGAGCTCATGTTATGCATATGCATATGAATGACATAATTAATAACGTAAATGAACATGAATGAATAAATAAAAAAAATCTAAACAAAAGGTTCAATTTTATTTAAGCTTTTGGACAACACAAATTTATTTACTGGCCTGACTCTCAACAGTCCTTAGTGGAGTCATCAAACTGTCATAACGTCTAGATCCGAGGATCTATCGCTAGACAATGACTTGAAGGAGTTGTCACAAATCTTTTTATCTAAGTGCGATTGGCCACCTAAAGAATTTATCTTTTTAAGGAACACTTAAGCCTAAGGGTCCCTAAAAGAATAGGTTCAGGTCTACTAACCAGAACAGGGCTCGATAGTACAATTACGTGTGAGGAAGGTTGTAGCACCCTCACAATGCCCATCGAAAGATGATACCAGCTTAATTTTGTGTTATCCAATAAGCTTTAAAAATTTATCAAGTAATTAATTATTAAAAATGATTTTCAATTGACTCTAATACTTTTAGTAGAAAATTGATAAAATTCTCTCACCTCAAGAGTATGCAAGGAGACTATTGTTTCATTTGCGGAGGCTCTATCGTCGGATTATTTATCATTAAAAAAAATTCAAGAAACAAAAATAAAAAAAATGATTTAACTTTAGATATAAATATTTTTCTCTTCAAAAACTCATTGCTTTAGTACAAGAAAAATTGATACTTTCAACTCCTCCTTAAAAATACTTTCCTGAGACTTTAATTTCGAAAAAAATTGATACTTTCAACTTTACCTCAAAAAAAATTTTTTAGAAAAAAACTTATTTTCAAGGAAAATTGATACTTTCAACTTTTCCTCAAAAATATTTTTTTAAAATTTTATTTAAAGAAAATCAAAAAAATAAAATAAGATAAAAATAAAAATAAAATAAAAAATACTAAATAATTCTAATTTAATCAATAAATAATAATAATAATAAATGAATAAATAAGGAAAAAAAAACCTTAGAACGGCTCGGCTCGACTTGAAGAAGAAAATGACTCGAAGAACAAGGCTTAGAAGTGCACGATTCAACTCAAACCCAGGTAGAGAAGCGAATCGCTGGATCGGGTGCACTACGGGTCAAGTCGCCTGAATCGAAACGTGCGGATCCTGAGGTTTTCTTAAACGCAAAACAACGTCGTTTTAACAAGGTATAAGAGGCTCTAACCTCAGTTTTTTTACTAGATCTCCCCTTCCTTCTCTCTCTTCCCTTCTTTTCCTCTTTTCTCTCTCTACCCGAACCAAGAACTCCGGTTGAATCTCATCGGATTCTAGAAAATATCACCGAAATATGAGTTTTTTACCAGAAGTTCATCGAAAAGTTGATCAATTTTTTGGAAATAGTACGTCGAAAACTAAGTAGCTGGCCAAAAAATTCAACTGGTGCCGGAAAAGCCACTGAAAAATTCAAACTTTGTCGAAAAATTCACCGGAATCTAGAAATTTTTCAAAAATTTCCAGAAAAAATTCGCCTAAAAATCCTCCAAAATCTCTAGAAAACTCCTAAAATTGCTTATGATCCTTTTGAACACCCATTTTTCCTTCTCTTTTCGCTCTCTCTTTGTGTGTGTCCTTTCTGTGTTTGTTCCAGCACCTATTTATAAGGATTGATTAGAAGAGTTTCTGATCAATCCCAATTCCTTCTTAGATTGGAATTCAATCCTTGAATCCAATATAAACTCTGATTGAATCCCAAATTCACAGTAAGATTCTGATTTTTTCATCCTAATCCCAGTCGAAAAGATAAAAATAAAAAATATATATTAATAGATAAATAATAATATATGTATAGATAAATAATAATAATAAAAAAACATACATATATATATTAATAGATAAAAATAATATATGTTAATAGACAAATAAAAAAATAAAAAATATATATTAATAAAATATATTAATAGATAAATAAAAAATCATATATTAATAAATCATAATAGTAATAATAGAAAAATAAATAAAAATAAAAATAAAAATAAAAATGCAAATGGGCTTGTCCATTTGGACCAGGCCCAATTAATCCGAATCTAGACCAAATTGGGTGCCTACACTTAGGATGGGAACATAGACAAAGAAGAGAGAATAGAAGGAAATGCCTTCTAGACTTACTATGGACAAAGAAGAGACTTGTACAATTAAATCAAAGTCTTTTAGACTTACCATAGAATATTTTCTTATTTACTACTTTGGTTGAGTGTAGATACACCTTAATAATTTCATTTCTTATTTTGGTCATCTAAATCTATGTCAAGTGTAACTATATGTTGTATATTGCTAACTTGCATGCCGATGCTTTTTTTATGCTTGCTCTTATCTATATTTTTTTGGTCATTAAATTCTAATTGAAGGTTGGATTCAGGTTATTTTAGCAGGGGAAAAAGAATCTGCTTCCTTGGCCATAGAAAAGGCTCAGAGATTTCAAACTGAGCTCCTAAGACGAAGTGCTCTTCTAGTTCCTGTCATTTGGGGTTAAGGTAGAACACCGCATGTTGAGAAGAAAGGTTTTGGTGTTTCTCCAAAGGCAGCAGCTGCACTTCATTCCATTGGGGTAAAATACAGGTTTCTAACTTATAGTAGATTAATTAGTAGCCATATGAAGATAATTATTGTCCACTGATCACATTATTATCATTTGTATAGTTACTACGACTTCTTAGAAGTTTACTTTCTGCCGTACATCTGATATATTATACATGTGACTGTATATTTATGCTCAGGTGTAATTATCCTGGTTTGCCATATAAACGTAGGGTTGCTGTCTTACAGCAATGTATTTTACATGGACTTTTATATTCCTTCCTTGAAACTTTTTACGTATTAATATTGTGGCAGGAAGACTTTGAGAAACGAGCTCAGTGCATCTGCAAAACCAAAGTTGAAAGCTGAAATTCAATTCAAGGCTGAGGTTGTATAACCGGAAGAATGGGAGAGACAACCTGCTATTCTATATGCATAGATGGTACTTCAAATTATCTTGAATTATTGGAAGAATAAATCGTATTTCAAATAGTATCAAATTCAAAGTTGGTTATGATTGTACTTGTTATAAGAGTACAAGTTCAATTCTTGTTTCCCACCCTCCATTAATCGGTCTATAATCATAACACTTACTATTGATTTTAGTTGTCATGTTAAGTCGGTGTTTTACTTGATGTTATTTTCATGTCTTTACCTTCATAATTTGCCATTGGTGTTGCAGTTAACAAACAGGGTTGACCAGAATCTCCTCCCAAATAAACCAAAACGTCCGATCAATCTATCTTCTTTAACTGAAGCCAAACTGATTAAAACTTTGAAAGCAACAAATTAAAGGACAAAGAAACATGAAAGATTAAATGACAATATATCTAGGAGTTTATTCAACAACACAGAATCTCCACCTTACCTGAGGGAAGCTTCATATTCTAACTATGGCCACTTATCCAGTGTATTGCTATATATATTTCTATCTTACAAAAAAGACAGGAAAAAAAACAAAGGGGAACCTCAGCTACGGCAACAAGTAATGTCGCTGCAGCCTTACAACGGTTGTAAGGGTTAGCTTCTTCTCTTGGCTGACAGTATTGTACTTCTGTTCGAGAGCATGGCACGATATTCTTCTGAAGAGCTCCTTGGCTTATGTACTGCGTGGATTGTAATGTGCGTCTGTTACTATTGGAGTCCATGTCAAACTCATCGTTAGCCATGCACTCGGCCATCAAGCCTTGGCAGCCAGACTTGGTTGGCACCAAGCTGAAGTTGTGCTCCCCACATGAGTCGAGGGTCGAGAAGGCTATGATAAGAGTTGCGAGAACTAAGGAAACGGCCAGGAGAAAACCAGAGAGATTAGCATGTTCTCTTCTTTTTTGTTTAGGCTTCTGCTTTTTTTTCTATCTTGCAGTTGTTTAAGTCGGGACAAGAAGAGAACAGGTATGGCAACTCGTTTTTAATGCTACTTAGAAGAATGATGTTGGCAAACAAGAAATTCTTATTTCATTGTTTGAGAAAAACACTATGTAAAGGTGTCTTATTTATATATGAAAATTTTGATTAATTAAGAAAAAAAATCATACAATATCTATCATAATTTTAAATATTATTCTAATTATAATAACATAATCTCTAATATTAATAATATCGTAATCCCATAATATCTTAATCCTAAACATTATCCTAGTTATAATATCTTTATCCTATATATTTTTAAAGCTGCTAATAAAGGAGTTGGGAGAATGACATTGATATCTCTGTATTTATCCAATGCCACTTGACTTTTAGGTTGTTTCCCTTTCCAAATTCCTATTTTTCATTCCCAAATTCATGCTACTTTGGTTCTTGCCTTATTTTATTTAAAAAGTACCGGATGAAGCCGTAAACTTATTTGACACAGTGCAATGATAGGTTACCAATTCTACGTAAGGAAGACAGGACACTGGAATAATTTTACCAATTTTAATATTATATATCAATTTTAATTTAATATCTTTAATAATCATTTCACTTCTTATTTCAATACAAATCATTACCACCAATATATTTGCATCTAAATACATTTTTATCATTAATTTTAATCTAACATTTATAGTAAGTAATCTCATCTTTATCATTGTCTTTAATTTCACATAAAACAGTTTCACTACCTATCTAAATATGAATCCTAAATCATTACCTAAATCCTTTATATGATCCAAAAATCTTACTCTCACTTTTTTTCTTCCCTAAATGATTTAACCTTTTAGTAATATGTCACGATTTTAATTTTAAATACAAGGATAGATGGGGACGCTTACATGTCTCAGGTGTGGTACTTTTATTCTAATCAAGCTATATAATCTTGTTTTTAGATTGTTTTAGTTATTACATTTTAATCAATGGAATAATGCTCCTTAAGATAGTGTTTGGTATGAAATATTTACTCAAAAAACTATAGTGATTTATCCGTAGTGATTAAATCATCGTATTTGATAACCACTTAAGTGATCCTTTATGACAGTGAATTTGGATTACGAATAATGATCAGATCATTTCCTTCAAAGGTGATCTAATTCCCACCCAAAGAGACAAAAAAAACTTTTATTCTCGAGATGAAATAATATGTAAAATTAAGAGTAATTAATATTACTCATTTAATATATGAATTAAAAAAATTTTTCTTCTCAAAATTAATTGTAGCTATTTTATATTAAAAATTTTTATATTTTCAAACTCATAACAAATTCCAAAATAATTTGTGTATTTTTTAATATTTTTATATATAATATAAAATTTTTATTTTTTATTATTTTAATGGATTAGTTTTATTTTCTAATTCAAATGTTTTTTATATAATTTATATTATAAAAATTAATTTACCTATCAATAAATAGATTTATTATTTTAATAATTTAATTATAATTTATTATAGAAATTACTAATATTTTACAAATTTTTGATAGAATGAATGATGAATCTTTTTAACAAAATTTGATGTATTCAAAAAACCAAAAGAATGGAGGAAGAAGACTCTTGAGCTTTTATACAAGAATAAATGTAATATATAAAATTATTCAAACCATCGAGAAAAAAAAAACTTATTAGATATATTATGAAATTTTGGGAGAAAATAATTAAATATAAATTACGACATGAGGTCAATATTTTCAAAAATCAATTTAGATTTATGCTAGACACTTCACAATAGAGGCAATTCACCTATTGAGACTTTTGTTTGAGGATTTTCAAGCAAGAAAGAAATATTTACATATGATATTTATCCACTTAGAAAAAGCATATGATAAAATTCTCCGATAGGTGCTTTGGTAAGCCTTAACGAAGAAAGGAGTTCTTTTAAAGTACATTAACATAGGATTTTTTCATATATATATATATATATATATATATATATGGACATGAAGATGTTTGGGAGCTTAACTGATAGTTTTCCCATTACTTCATAATTGCATAATGCTCAACACTAAATTCTTTTTTTGTTTAATTGGTTATGGACAAGCTCATTGGATATATTCAAGATAAGGTGCCATACTGTATGTTATTTACCAATGATATAGTCTTACTTACTGAAACTAATAATGATTTTAATGCAACATTAGAATTATGGGGCATAAGCCAAAGTCTTAAAGCTTTAAATTGAATACATCTAAAATTGAATATATGAAATGTAAGTTTAGTAGTCACAGCAAAACGAGTATTAATGTGATTAAGTTGGATGGTGAGGTAGTACTACAAAGTAGTCATTTTTTATATTTGAAATCAATTATTCAAAGTGATGCTGAGATAAAAAGAAATGTAAATCATAAGATTCAAGCATGATAAGTGAGGTGGTGAAGAGGATCGGGTGTGTTGTATAATCACAACATGCCTTTCAAGTTAAATGCAAAGTTGTATAAAACAACTTTAAGACCTTCATTGTTATATGAAACTAAGTATTGGTCACTAAAAAACAACATGAAAAGAAAATGAGCTTAACTAAAATAAGGATGCTTAGTTAGATATTTGGTAAAATTAGAAAAAATAAAATCATATATGAAAAGATTCAAAAAAAATTAAGAGTAGTCCGAATTGAGGAAAGGATGAAAGAGGGCCATTTAAGATAGTTTGAATATGTAAAACATAAGTCTGTTTGTGTATTAATTAGAAGAAATGAGTTTTTGGATTTGAAAGAGATCAAAAGCTTTTAAAGATAGATTACGAAAAATGTGAATGTAATAATAAGAGATTATATGAAAGTTAAAATGGTAAATAAAAAGGTTTTTTTTTTTTTTATAGAAATAAATGGTGTAAGAAAATTTAAAACTATGACCTAACATTATTCCTTTTCTTTTTTTTTTTTTTGGCCTTTCATATAACTGATTCTAGAGTTATGAGATATAAGGCTTAGTTTGTTATTGTTGTTATTACTAATATTTTACAAACTATTTTCTTTAAATAACATTAAAATCATTAACTTGTGTAATTATTACAAGATACATGGTTATTTTCGTACGTTTAAACAAAATAATATTTATTTTTAATAATACCAAATGCATTGATCTTAATTACTAAAAACTAATTATTGCTAACTAGATAAAATGATTTTAAATAATGAATTATAAGATTATCTTGGTAATAAAATCACATCGGTGATTACATTACCATTATGATTTTGTAAAATATACCAAATGCTATTTAAGAATGGCTAACGATGTTGGTTTGTTTCATAAAAAATTATTTTCAAAAAATGATTTTTGTAATTTTAAATGTTTGTTTGATAAAAAAATTGGCTAGTATTAGAAAATGACTTATTAGTCAACAAAAAATTAGATTTTTTTAAAAATTGTCTTCCCTTTTTTGAAAGGGAAAGACAATTTCTAAAACAAAAAACTACATATTGGCAGTAATACTTACAAAATTTGTGAGCATAGTTTTACATAAGTTGAATCTTGGACTTGATTTTTAAGCTCAAATTTAATTTGACTCAACCTAAAATATTATTATATTCATAGCAAAACATTTTCTATTTAATTGTAATTAAAATTTTTAAATATTAATATTAAAATTTTTTAATATTTTAATTTTAAATATTTTTATAATTCTACTCAAGCCACTTTTTCGATATGAGATTTTAAGCTCGATTTTGATTTCCCTCGACCTACAATATTATTATATAACAAAAATATTTTATTTAATTTCAATTAAAAATAAAATATTAATTTTAAAATATTTTTTTGGTATTTTAATTTTAAATAATTATATCTTGCATACTATTAAACATTAATATTTTTAATAGTTCAAAAAAAATAGTATTATATTATTTTTAGTAATAAATATTGTTATAGTAAATGATATTTTTTATTTAAATAAATAATTTTATTTAATATAATAATATTATTATTTTAATAAAACAAATATTTTTAATCATTTCTTAATATTTTCCATTTAAAATATATTATTTTTATATTTTATTGACTAATGTATTTATAATACTCTTTTAAAAATAAATTAAAAAATCATTATTTCATTACGATTTAATGATAGATAGTTTCAATATAAAATGTAACTATTTTAATAGTAACTTTTTAAAATATTTTAATAATAAATTATTATTTTTAACATTATTATATTAATAAAAATAATATTTTAAGAATAGTAATATTATTCTAAATATTTTAAAATATTAATATAATAATAAATAGCTTTATTTTAAATGTTAATATTAATATAATATTTTAATATTAATATTATTATTAAAATTTAATAATTTTTTAATATTAATAATTTTAAAAATAAATAATTTAATATATTTCAATAATATATAATATTTAATATTTTAATAGTTGCATTGATATTATTTTAAAAATATTTCACAAAAAAACCAAATAATAGAACATATTTTTTATTAATTCATCTAAATAACAAAAAGTTTATTTTTTCAGACAATGTAAATATTTTTTAAAAAATAGTTTCTGAAAATCGATATCCTCTAAACAATGATTGTCGTAATAGTTTTGTATCCGCCTGATGAATTTGGAAAGAAAATAAAAGAACAAAAAATGGAGTCGCCACTAATCTTTTTTGGTTAGGTACGATTGGCCTCCTATTAAAACATATCATTTTAATGAAATCTTAAAATTTATTAAAAAGATAATTTCATGGTCTACGAAACAGTCTGGGTTCAGGAGTCGATTACGCATGGGGAAGGATTAGCACCCCTACGATGCCCGTTTAAAAATGGTACCATTTAACTATGTGTTATCCTTTGATTTTGATTAAAAATCGTCTCATTCTTAGTGTTTGAAAAAATAATTTTCTTAATTTTTTTATTTATTGGAAATTGGTTTGTTTTGTTTTATTTTAAAAAAATTATTATTCAAATTTTATGCGAGAAAAATAAATTAGAACCTTTTTATTGAAATAATTTTTAAAATGTTCCAGTACGTTGGTAACATTAGAAGAATTTTTTCTTACCAAGAGATTTCTTAAGCATCACTTCTCGGAATACCTTAAAATCTCATCTTAGGAGGTCCGAATTTACTTTTCGTAAAAATTATGTCATGTATGCAATGCAAAATGTTATCATGTTGATGCACACATTTTATTCTTTTTTTTAAAATTTTATTTAATTATTATTCTCTTTTTTTTTTGAAGAAAGGAAAACTTTTGTTATATTGAAGATTTTATATAAATATTATAATACACTGGTAATATTTTTAAAAAATCCTCTCACCTAAGGATTTCTTAAAACATTTCTACTCGGAATACTTTTAGAATCCCATCATTAGATAAAATTTCCTTTTTGTCTCATTTTTTATTACTTATTCTTAATTTATTAATTACTTTTTATTTATTATTATTTTATAAGAAAAAAAGAAAATTTTTACTATATTGAAAATTTTTATATAAATACTCCAATACGCTGATAGGATTTAAAAAAATCTTCTCACCTAGAGATTTCGTAGGCATCACTACTTGAAATACCTTTGAATTTCATCGTCTGATAAATATTTATTTTTCTTACATTTTTATTATTTTGGTATTATTATTAAGTTTATTTTTATTTTATTTTATTTTTTAAGTTTATTTTTTAAAAAAATTATAAAAATTTTAATTATAATTTCATCATTTAATCTAACAAATACAAATATTTTAATACGCATAAATTTTAATAAAATAATATATAAAAAATAAGAAAAAATTTTAAAAGGTAAAAAAAAAAGTTCTTTTTACCTGAACCGGACCGTTGACAACGCGGGTTCGATCCGGCGGTTCGAGGTGATTAGGTCTGGCGTCAGTGGCTCGAGGCTGTCCATTTGATTTAGCAGTTCAGACGGACTGGTCGGGGCTAAAGGAAACACGGGTCGCGGGTCTGATGAGCGGACCCCGAGTCAGGTCACGGGTTGATGCGCGGATCCTCAGGGGTTAAAACGACATCGTTTTGGGCGTTTATTGAAACAATGTCGTTTTGGCTATTGACACCTTATATAAAAGCCCAAAATTTTTTTTCGATCATTTCCTTCCCTCTTCAAAAAAAAAATCTTTCTTTTTTTTCTTTAGTCAAACATAGGTGGCCGGCCTGTCGCCGTCACCGCCGTCATCGCCAATAAACGAAAAAAATCAAAATCACTTAAAATTGTTCTCTTTAACCGCCAAAACACAGATCCAATCTTCTTTTCACCAAAAATAGTCCCAAATTCTCGAGATCTACCTCTTGAAGTTTTGGTCAAACTCTTTTTTTTTACTCTCTTTTTTTTTTGAAATTGACTCTTTTTTTTTTCTTTATGCAGAAAGCTTCTCGGCGCTAGGTTCCTTCTTACGGGGAAGACTATGTTGAATTTTTTTTTTATTTAGGCAGAAAGCTCCCTTTTTTTTACAGCCTTTTTTACAGCTTTTTTTTTCATTTTTTTTTTTTTTGGGTTCGACTAGGAGCTATATTTATAGAGCTCCGGCCATGCGTGACACAAGGCTCGGCATGAGGTGCAAGCACGAGCCCCATACTTTTTATTGTTTTTTTTTTATCTGGTAATGGTAGGGTTAGGAGCCAACGAGATGGGTGATCAGAGGGGTGGAGGGTAGGGCATGATGGCAGTGGTACCGAAAAAGGCACCACTACCTTCCTTCATTTTTTTTTGTTCTGTTTGGTATTTTATATTTTATATTTTATATTTTTTTATATTTTGTATTTAATAATAATTTCTTTTTTCTGGAAAAATTTATTGTCCACAATTGCCCCTCTTTGCACATTGCTGATAATCAGTAATAGGATAAAGATAAAGACAATAATTTTATCCGAAATCCAAATGGATTTTTCTTTTCTTTTTTTCCTCTTTCTTTTAACATAGACTACTCAAAAAAAAAATTTTTTTCAAATCGAAAATGCTCCTCTCACTTGAGGCTCGACAACATTTGAAAATTTAAAATCTGAAAAAGACTCCTCTCAACAGAGGTTCAACAATTTAAAAAATTTCATCTTGAAAATGGCTTTTCTCAGCAGAAGCTCAACAACTTTAAAAATCTCTTTTTGAAAAGGGCTTCTCTTAGCAGAGGCTCAACGACTTTAAAAATTTTATCTGAAAAAGCTCCTCTCAATAGAGGCTTAACATTTTTTGAAATCTTATCTTGAGAAAGCTCCTCTCAGTAGAGGCTCAACAACTTTAAAATTCTCATCTTGAAAAAGGCTCCTCTCAGCAGAGGCTTAACAATTTTTGAAATCTTATCTTGAAAAAGCTCATCTCAGCAGAGGCTCAACAACTTTAAAAATCTCATCTTGGAAAAGCTCCTCTCAGTAGAGGCTCAACAACTTTAAAACCTCATCTTGAAAAAGCTCCTCTCAGCAGAGGCTTAACAATTTTAAAAATCTCATCTATTCTCAAAACTGAGTTCTTATCTTTGAACAAGTAAATTTTTCTCTTTTGAAATCTTTTGTTTGATCAAGAAATGGAAAGTTTCTATCCTTATTATTCATGGATGCATGTACTGAGTGCTCTAAATGCAATGCATGTAATGCAATCAAAATTATTCATTGTGGTAAAAAGGTTCAAAATTCTCAACAATTACCATATGACTAATATGTTCTTAATATCTGACCATTGTATTATTTCCTACCAATACTTTTCTTCAAAAGTCTGCAACATCAATGTCTTATCATGCTTTTCTCTTCTTTTTTCATTTGCCTTTGTAAACTTTTAAAAAGTAATGCTAAGATCTTTCATGTTTGTTTTTCTTTTCATCATTTTAAGTCAAAGACTAATAAAATGCAATCACACATTTCTTTTATTCGTATGGGGGACAAAAAATGAGAATAAAGAAATGGATAGGTGTTTTCCAAAGGAAAGATAGCATATTTTATTAGACTGGTAACAAGTGCATGGTAAAGTATTTGAGTTGAAACAAAGATGCCCAAGTAATGATCATAAGATAATCATGAACAAAATATTCCCAGATTCTTTTTGTAAAACTAAATTAGATGACTTCCTTGATCCTTCAGAGTTCATCAAACTACACTTACCCTTGTATTATGGAATGATGCTTCTTTTTCGCATCTAAGCCACCTTTTTCAGGTTTTCAGCTTAGATGAGTCATTATTTTTCATTTTTTATTTTTTTTCTTTTTTTCTTCCAAGCAAAATATTTCTTCACAACATCTGAGTTTATCGGAGTAGGTAAATCATTTTCATCCATTTTCTATCAAAATCAATGTCCTACCGAAAAAAGCCTTTTTCACCACATATGGGCCTTTCTAATTTGGTGTTCATTTTCCTCGATTGTCATGTTGATTTGGAAGGATCCTTTTTAGCACTAAGTCTCATTCTCTAAAGCAAAGAAGATGAATTTTCTTGTCATGTGCTCTCATCATCCTCTTTTGATATAATTGACCATGACAAAGTGCTGTAAGTCTTTTTTCTTCAATGAGGTTCAACTGCTCGTAGCGATTTTGAACCCATTCTGTTTCTTCTAACTCTACCTCTATTAGGACTCTCAGCGAGGAAATTTTCATTTCGATCGGTAGCACAGCTTCCATTCTATATCCCAAAGAAAATAAGGTAACCCCAGTAGATGTTGGGATTGATGTTCTATAAGCAAGCAAAGCAAAAAGTAACTTCTCATGCCAATCTTTGCGAGTATCAGTAATTTTCTCTAAGATTCTTTTGATATTCTTGTTTGCAGCCTCTACTGCCCCATTCATATTTGGATGATATGGTGCTGAATTACGATGATGGATCTTGAATTGAGTGTACACTTTATTCATCATTTTGTTATTTAAGTTTTTGGCATTATCAAAAATAACTGTCTCTGAAAGCCTATATCTGTATATTATCTTTTTTTTTATGAACTTGCATACCATAGATCAAGTCACGCTAGTATATGATGCTACTTTTACCCACTTAGTGAAGTAATCAATCATCACAAAGATGAATCTATGACCGTTTGAAGCTTTTGGAGTAATGGGACCAATGACATCCATACCCCACATAGAGAATGGCCATGGAGGAGCCAAAACATGCAATGCTGTTGGAAAAGTATAGATCTTGTCAGCATAGATCTGACACTTATGACATTTTTTAGCATAATCAATACAGTCACTCTTCATTGTCAACCAATAGTATCCAGCCCTCATAATTTGTATAGCCATCATATGACTATTTGTATATACCCCACAAACTCCATCATGAACTTCTTCAATAATCCTCTTTGTTTCCATTGCATTCACACACCTTAAGAGTACTTGATCTCGACCTCTTTTATAGAGGATGTCTCCATCAAGAAAAAAACTCATAGCCAACCTTCTAATAGTCCTCTTATCATTTTCTGTTGCATGTTCTAGGTATTGCTGGCTTTTAATGTATTGCATAATATCATGATACCATGGTTTCCCATCAACTTCTTCTTCAACACTTAAACAATGTGCTGGTTTATCATTCACATTCAGCTTGATGAGTTAGATTTCAGTATTTGCATTTATTTTAATCATTGCAGCTAGAGTAGCCAGTGCATCAATAATTTGGTTTTTTTCTCTAGGCAAATGCTCAAATTAAACTTTTTTGAATTGTTTGACCAATTGAGAGATGTATTTATGGTACCGTATCAACTTAGAATCTTTAGTTTCCCATTCTCCTCTCAACTGATAGATGACTATAGTTTAATCTCCAAACACATCTAATACTTTAATTTTCTTTTCAATTGCTACTTGCAGACCCATAATACAGGCCTCATACTTAGCCATATTATTTGTGCAATTAAAATTTAACCTGACTGTAATGAGATAATAATGCCCATCAAAAGATATTAAAATTACCCCAATACCATAGCCCAAAGCATTAGTAGCTCCATCAAAATACATCTTCCAAGACTCTTCAATAGATTCATTTACTTCAATGGCCATCACATCTTCATCAGAGAACTCTAGGTTCATTGGTTCATAATTTACGACAGCACGATCAGCAAGAAACTCGACTACGGTACTTTTTTTATAGCTTTTTGAGTCACATAAATGATATCATATTCTAAAAACATAACTTGCCACCGCACTATTCTTCTTGAAAATGAGGGTTTTTTGAAGATATATTTAATAGAATCTAGCTTTGCTATGAGTCAAGTAGTGTGATAAAGCATGTATTGTCTAAGCCTTCGAGTTGTCTAGGCTAATGCATAACATATATTCTCTAATGGTGAATACTTGGACTAATAATCAGTGAATTTTTTGCTCAAGTAGTATATTGCTCGTTCTTTCCTGTCAGTTTCATCTATTTGCTCCAGCACACATCTCATAAAATTTTCATGTACCGTTAAGTATAAGATCAAAGGCTTTCTTGAAACATGTGGTACCAATATGGGCAAATTTGATAAGTATCTTTGATTTTGTCAAAAGCTTCTTGGCATTCATCATTCCATTCTCCTGGATCATGTTTTCTAAGAAGCTTAAAAATAGGATCGTACTTGTAGTTGAGTTGAGAGATGAAATGAGCAATATAGTTCAGTCTCTCTAGGAAACCTTGCACTTTTTTTGGGGTATGAAAAGAAGATAAGTTCTAGATGGCTTGTATCTTATTCAAATCCACTTCAATTCCTCTTTCACTGACCACAAAGCTCAATAGTTTTTTTTATTTGGCACCAAATGTACATTTAGCAAGATTCAATTTCAGCTGAAATCTTTTCAACCTACCAAATAGTTTTTTGAGATTGACCACATGATCTTCTCCTTCATGAGATTTCACAATCATATCATCCATATATACCTCTATTTCTTTGTGCATCATGTTATGAGAAAGATCACTATTGCTCTTTGATAAGTGGCACCAATATTTTTTAACCCAACAGGCATGACTTTGTAACAGAATGTCCCTCACATGGTCACAAATGTAGTTTTCTCCATATCATCTTGAGCCATCTTGATCTGATTGTAGCCTGAGAAACTATCCATAAAGGAAAATATGGAATGTCTAGCAATATTATCCACTAAAGTATCGATGTGAGGTAGAGAAAAATTATCTTGATAATCGACACACATTCTCATTTTTTCATCCTTCTTAGGAACTGGTACTATGTTAGCTACCAGGATATTTTGTCACTTTCAAAAATACAGCATCAAATTGTTTCTTCACTTTCTCTTTAATTTTCAGCAGCATCTCTGGTTTCATGTGCCTTAGCTTTTGCTGCATCGGCTTACAACTTGGTTTTAAAGGTAACTTATGCTCTATAATATCAGTACTGAGTCCTGACATATCCTAATAAGTCCACGTAAATACATCTACATATTCTCGAAGTAGCTTTTCTAGCTTCTATCTTTCAGTTGGTAAAAGAGATATACCAACTTTAACCTCTTTTCTGTTTTCACCATCTCTCAAATTCACTAATTCGATAATTTTTTTGTAGGGTTCAATTGACTTATCTTCATGTTTTATTAATTTTAACAAATCAAGAGGTAGCTTGTAGTTATATGAATCTTCCTTATTTCAAGTTCATCAACATGAATTAAGTTTTTGAAATTAAATCCAAGATTATTGCCATGATTATCTTCGTGTTCATTGTTTAGGACCCTACAATGGGTAAGATGAAGAGAATATTGGCACACAAAAATAGAATGGTAAAAAAATGATGGAAAGAGAAGAATAGTAAACAAAATAAAGATAAAAACAATAGAAAAAATATGGATGCATCTTCTAAGTCTTTTATTAAATGACAAACATAAACACAGCACAAAAGATCTCTTAATACTCGTAAAAAGTAATTAGGGATTTAAAGTTTCACAGTACATTACTTTTCTAAAGTTTTAAAGATAACAGGCAGCTCTATAACTTTCTAATTATCCAACTCAAAATTTGAAGGACTAAGGTACCCGAACAGCTTTTCACTTTGATTTTTCTTTTCTCCATCATCCACCATTTGAATGGCCAACTCTGAAAATTCTTCCACGAATCTTGCACTTAGAGCTCCTGGTAAATTTGGATAAATATATCCTCTCGAGTGAAAAGAATAATAGAGGTATGGAATGATCATAAGCTCTGACTCTAGCTCATATCCCTTAAGATTAGCTATCCTTTTATCTCTTTTCTCATTCATCATTCTTATTCTGTCCCCTCTTGTTAGCTTATATCTCAAGCTAAATCTGTCTTTCTTTTCATATATGGTCGATGGCTTCGTGATTCCTTACAAGTTCTTCTTAAGTTCAACTTCAAGTCGCCATCCCATCATAAGTTCAGCTTCAAGTCACCATCCTATTTTAGTTATCGTAGACAGGTGCGACAAATACAATTTAGATCCTTCAGCTATATATGTTGCATTGGCAATCTCAAAAGATCTATAAAAGTATTCCAGAGCTTCATCTATTGATTCCACATAAAAAGTATTTATCGATTGAGGTACCAAGAAATCTTCTTCTCCTGCCATACATGTTAGCTTTCCTTTAACAATGAATGTGACTTTCTTATATAATGAGGATGGAACAACACCTACCATATGGATCTATGACCTATCCAATAAATAACTGTATGAAGGAGAGATGTCCATAACTTAAAATTTCACGTTGAAAGTACACGGGCCAATTTGCAATGGCACTTCTATATCTCCTAGCACTTTTTTTCTGGTTTCATCAAAGGCTCGCACTATCATATGACTAGGCTTCATATAAGATCCATCAATAAAAAGCTTTTTCAAAGCAGTCACAGGCATAACATTGATGGATGAGCCATTATCAATCAAAACTTTAGTCATTATATGACTTTTACATTTAACAGTAATGTGGAGAGCCTTAGTACTTTCTCTACCTTCAGGAAGAATCTCTTCATCACTAAAAGAGATATAATTTGAAATCATCAAATTCCTAACAAGCTGTTCCATATATTCAACAGAAGCATTATGAGACACATATGCTTAATTTAGCACATTCAGTAAAGCATTATGGTGTGACTCTGAACTGAGCAATAATGACAATAGCAAAATTCTAGCTGGTATCTTGTTAAGCTGTTCTACCACGCTATACTCGCTATATTTTATTAACTTTAGAAATTCACATGCTTTACTCTCAAAGACTGACTTTTAACATTTTTTTTTTAGGGCTGCGTTAAAACCACTCTAACTTTTCTTTTCTTCTCTACCTTGGCTTTTTCCTTTCTAACTTTTTTTAGAGCCTCTAGGGTATAACACATCTCACTTAAAGTCATGCCTCTTACACCCGTTATGTTGGCAGTATCTAGGTTGACTATGATATCATAATCATACTTTTATGGTACTATTTTATCATTCTGATATGAAAAAGGGTCAGGAACTTTAATTGTCACCACTGGTCGAGAGACAGGCTTTTCTAACTTCAGTGTCAGCTTCTTATCATAATAAATAGTATCTGATTTATGCATAAACTTATTTTTTGAATCAATGGTAGACATTTCAGCTTTTATCAACTCTTTTCTCTCTTGGTAAAATTCTATTTGACCCATATCCATCAAATTTTGCACCTTTTGATGGAATTGGTGACAATTCTCGATAGAATACCCCAAAACACATTTGTGATAATTACAGCTTTCAGTTAAATTAATCGCTTCAGAGCAATTTTGAGGTTCTATTGGCTTCAATATGTCAGCGTTAACTAAGACTTCGAACACCTTAACCATCGAAGTCTTAACTTCATTTATTTTTTCTTTCACGTGGTTTCTTTGCCCATCAATTAAGGCATTTATTGATGGTCTGGTATAATTTGGTAAAAAGTTTTCATTAACATTTAAAGTCCTTTATTGGTTGGTATCAAAGTTTAATACCCCTTCATTGATTAACCCTTGCACTTTACACTTCAAAGTAGTACAATTCTCAGTGGAATGACCTGGATTCCTATAGTGATAATCACAATGTGCATTGGGGTCATACCATTTGAGAAACAGAAGTTTCAAGGGTTCAACAATAACAGAAGCAAGCAGATGTTTCTTAACAAGTCAAAAATATAAATCTGTGTATGTCATGAGAATGAGATTAAAAGTAATTTTTTTTAGGTATTTCTCGGGATTTTCAAACCATTATTAGGACTAGGTCTCCATTCTGGTATAGTGGGTGCAGTAGGACGATTGTAGGTGGGTGTCTGAAAGGATGGCTAAAAACAGGGTGGATAAGCTGATTGTGGTAATGGTTGGTATGACTGGTATGGATAAGGAGTAGATGTAATATTATTTATGAAGGGTAATGGGTTAGGTAGACTGGTGCAGAATAAGGTGTGAAACCTTTGAATTATTGCCCTATATAGTTCACTGCTTGAGCTTCATTCTTTTTCTTTTTAGGAGCTCCTTATTTTTTTGCTCCACTTGTCTCTCCTGCATCAAGCTTGCCATTTTTTATGGTACTTTCGATAATCTCACCTGATATCATCATATCTGTAAAGTTTTTTGTTGCATTACCTATTAATCTCTCATAGTATGGTGCTTTCAAGGTGTTCATAAATAAAATAATTATTTTTTTCTCAGTGAGGGAGGTTGAATTTGTGCAGCCATATCTCTCCATCTTTATGCATATTTTTTGAAGCGCTCAGTTGTTTGCTTTTTCATACCTTGTAAAGATAGACGATCTAGAGCCAAATCTCTAACATGCTGATATTGTGTAAGAAATGCCCTTATGAGCTCTTGTTAGGAATGAATACGAGTTCAGTCTAGTTGGATATACCATCTAACTGCAGATCTCGTAAGGCTATCTTGAAATATATGCATTAATAACTTCTCATCACGAGTATGTGCTGTCATCTTATGACAATACATGGTGATATGAGTCATTGGACATTTCATGCCATTGTATTTTTCAAATTCAGAGACCTTAAATTTTGGTGCAATGACCACATCCGAAACTAAATAAAGGTCAACCACATCTGTGGAGCCATAAAAATTCATTCCTTTTACAGCCCTAAGCCTTTCTTTCAATAACTTCATCTTCTCTCGGGCA